TATGTTGAGTGTGTGACCATTCCCTACATAGACTTTGTTAGATCATGTATATAACTTAGAATTCTATAAATGAAAGGCATAGGTAGTTAGATAGTGGAAAACACCTGAATCCACAAACCATGCTTGAGATTCTAGTTCTGCAGGGAGAGAGTACTCCTGAGTAGTACCAAGTGGTTGTCTCGTGGAAGCCATCATAGCCACAGCTTGAGAATTTTGTGTGTTGTCTGTTGATTTTTCCTGGCTTGCACCTGTGCTGCTACCTGGTTTATCTCGAGCAATGTTAGCATTGGGAGGCATGAAATTCTCATCAAACCGATGACAACATGTTGAAACAGCATGACCATATTTGCCACACAACTGACAGGTAGGTCTATTACCAGTGGGAGGCCTAGTTCTTCCCCTGCCTCGCCCTCGAGTATACTTGTTACCTCTGCCATTATTTCCTGAGATACCACATCTAGAAGTACTATTATCATGACTTGTGTGAGCTAGATTAACAGCAATGTTGGAGGCTGATAGTTCATAACGAAACTTCTCCAGCTGAGCTTCTTGAACATATAAAAGATCTTCAACATCACACAAAGATGGTGACACGGGGTTACCATAGATTTGCATCACAAAGGAGTTATACTCCTCAGGGAGGCAAATTCTGGAGATTGAAGAGGATCTTTGATCCCTGATTCTTGATTATCGCTGAAATTCATTGTTTAACCTTGAAGAAACTTGATGTAAACTCAACTACTGCAGATAGAACACAACACCACACAAGAGAGGAAGAAGAACGCACGAAGGATGATAATTCACAGAGAACGGAAGCGTAAGGAATCGTGTTCAGCGCGTGATACCATATTAAAGAAGGTGGAGATGAACATGGAGGTTCATCTGTGTGTAACAGAATTCTGTTACATGAGAGAGAAGAGAAAAAAGGAAAAGAATAAGATTTTACTATTACAATGCTTAGTCAATAGAATTACACATGATAAGCTATTTATATCCTATATATACAAAGAGTAAAAGGAAAAGGATAAGATTTTATTATTACAATGCCTAATCAATAGAGTTACCCATGACAAACTATTTATATCCTTTCTATACAAAGAGTAAACTCACTTAGCTTGTATACTCATTACATATTGCTTTTATCTTCAATAAATATAATTAATTTTTAAAAAATATTATGCCTATTCAATACACTGAACATATAATATTTTTTATATTTGAGATTCTTAATCAATATCCCATAACACTAATTAACATGATCCTTATTTCTTTTAACAAATCTTTTTAAAAAAAATACTTGTGACGTTTTAATTAAAAAATATATACATTAAAATGTGACATTCATTTTTTTGTTTTCTCTCTTTATTCATTCTTCTTTAAATTTCAAATTTTAAATTTTAAAATCAAAATACTTAATTTTTCACAATATTGTGGTTATTCAAAAAAGAATAAATTTACAAATATAAGATAATGAATCATTTATATGTAATAGAGAGATAGTAAATAAACATATGTGTATAGTTCTTTTTTAAGTGAAATAGAAATTGTAGTTAGACAACTACAACATATAACATAAACGCCCATACGATAAATAAAATTAAAGTAAATTTAGTCTAAATTTTGAGTCTTTTCTAAAACTGACTTTTAAGAAATAATCTTACAAACAATGTCATTAACTATTTTTATAAGTCTTTAAAAATAAATAGTTATCATTTTACAACATGACACAACTTATTCTCACCACTAACTATCATTTTGCAAGGTAGTGAAAATTAGCAATAATATAGTTAATTTTGACTAAAATCAATTTTGACTTAAATTGAACTATTATAAATTTATTTGTATTTGAATAAACTAAATTATTCTTATTAATGTTAGTTTGAATAGTTATTATGAATAAAGTTGAGTTAGGACAATTACTAAAATAGATTTTAATATTTGTACTTGAAACTCGAATAAGCCTTATTGTATGTTATTTTGCAACAAAAAAAATCTTTGATTTTTTTGCTTTATTGTATGGCAATAAATTCATCATTAAACAACTTTCATACAAAAGTGTGAAAAGGTTGCAAGCGTACCAAATTTAGCGCGGCATTGTTAGCAATTGCCAAGTGAGATTAATTATGATAATGTGGCATTGTTTACAGGCCATTTTGTTTACTAAATCAGCATCTAATAGAAAACAAACCAATAGTTTGCAAAGATGAAGAATTTAAATAAACAAAAAAGAAACTATTTGATATCAGAAATAACTTTCAAACTGGATTAGTCGGTTCAACAGGGAAGAAAAAAACTTAAACAACCACTGTATTTAGGGAACAAACTACAATTTCATGTCACCAACCTACTAGTCTTAAAGTTTCCTATTGGAGTATTGGAGCAAAGAAGACCATAAAACCAAAGGAGAAACATTGTAGAGGTAGTATTGCTTTACTCAAAATCATGGATTGTGTGTCTCTGTTCTTCCTCTTTTTTTCCCCTCGTGATGGTTGTTCTCAAATTAAAATATGTAAATTTAATGACTATGAGACATCTTTTCAAAGTAGATTTTCCCTTTTCTATCACTTTACGAAGCGCAAAACTGAATATTGAATTACAAGTTTTACATATAAAATAAAATTATTTATTTTGAATTGTGACTATTGAATCATGGCCATGTATCTTTGCGGAATGTGCCTTCTATTGAATAATGGCCATGTATCATTGCGGAATGTGCCTTTCAACAATAACGAAGATCGAAACTCATCAATTGTCAAGAAAAGATGATCACCTCCGATAACAACCTCTCGTGTTCTCACAAGAAGGTTTGGTTATTATTGTTGTTGAGAGAACAAGAGGAATATCAAATATTGTGCTAATTATTGGAGATTTTGAAAGAGTGATTAGACGAAAATTAAGAAGAGATACTCAAGTTATCAATAACCAATTTGATTGTTTGTCTCGAAGAACGGTTATGAAAGATACCTAATTACTATGATGTGCGATGGAGCGGTATCAATAGATCAACAAGATTTGTTGCGTTTAATTTTTATTGATTTGGAAAGAGTGACTGATTCTATGGAAAGTCATAGAGACAAAAAGGATTAGAATTGTCAATATTCAAACTATTCAGAATATAAGAAATGGTTTCGACTAATGACCGAACACACGATAGAGACGGTTTTTCCATTATAATAAGATTACAACAAGATTTAACCATAAGTCTTATTTTTTTCTTATAGTTTTGGATGTACTTACTTAACACATCCAAGAACTAGCCCTGAAAAGCGCGTATTTTTGTAGATATAATTCTACTTTAAAAATCGAGAGAAGAATTAAATGAGATTGGAGAAGTAAGACGAAGTATATGAAATATAAATTTAACAAAAAAAGAAGTGTTTATAACTTTGAGATGGACGTTGAAGACCACATCATCACAAGTTACACTATTGAAATATTTTGAGTGCATGATAAAAAAAATAAACGGAAACATAAAATGTCGAATTCAAGGTGGATGTTTGAAATGAGGGAGAATTTCATATATTTTATGTTATATAAAAGTAATGTTCAAAGACCCAAAACGAAAAATAAATTAAGTGTAATAGATATTAAGATGATGTGGAGGAAGTGTGGTAAAATCAAACAAGATGAAATTAAAAACGACAATGTCTTTAGTGGTGATGAAGCTCGTATAGTAGATAATATGATGGAAAATTAGGCTTATATGTTTGTGCATGTAGAGACAAGATTAGTGAATTATGTAACAAAGGGTATATCAGACTAGATGAAATTAAAAATGACGGTATTAAAGATAATGTTGATGAAGCACATGTAGTAGAAATTATGATGGAAATTAGGCTTATATCGTTTGTGCATGTAAAAGAGAATGACCGATGAATTATGTAACAAAAAGGGTAATATAGGAGTGTCGGTGCTGTTGAAGGAGATCTTTGAGAAGAAGTGCATCATCATTATCTCGTCTAACTTGGAGCTATGGAATAGAGAAAGGATGAAAACATAGATGCAAACCAAGTGAAGTTTATTGCGACGAAAGGATTATACGAGAAGAACATATTAAATGGCCACTGTTGTCCTTCAAATATGAATACAAGAACCCTAATGCCTAACCCATAATTTTATAGCATATAAACACTTAGGATTATTATTATTTGATCTCTCATGTTTACTTGTTCATGTGGATGTGGCAAAATAATTTATACTCAGCAAGTGGCAGATAAGGCAGATATAAAGATCATAACAAGAACTTCAAATGATAGAATTGAAGAGATCTAATAAAATTATTATGAAGCACGGTGGAAGAGGGGAACGACGGCTAAAATGCTGCAGCAAGCATTTCCTTGTGAGTGATATCATCATAAGATATGGAGAAGTCAAAAGCAAGAACATGTGTTTTACAAAATATATTCCAATTGTTTTTCAGATTACACAGAATTACTGATATGCAGAAAATAGCAAGGAGGAGGAAAAAGATCTGCTGGTTTTCAATTTTGCAAGGCACTTCTACGCTTTAGAGACTGAAGAGCTCAAAAGTCGTAGATGCTTGAAAGAGGAAATTGCTAGAGAATCTTTTATTAATTTACAGACAGATAGTTTCAGCAAGAAAGGAGAATAAAAGGTTGAACGAGAAGAAACAAGTCAACAACATAAACACTGCTTCATGGTTCCTCAGATAATTATTCATGGAGATAAAGATGATTCCACACTAATCAATGGAAAAACAGCATGAATGGAAAGAAAGATCCTACAGTTCTAAGAGAAATCACAGATGAAGAGTAGATTAAGAAAGGCAAAGAAAGGAACTACAGCTCCTAAATACAAAACAAGCAATGGAGGCTGTGTCATAATCTTGCTCGTCACATATGGAAGAAGCCGGAGTCCGATCAAAGAACCCTAAAGGATATTCTCTCCAGACCAACCTAGACGGTGTAAGAAGAGGAATGAGTAGATGTATTGAAAATTAAATTTTCACCTTCAAGACACCTGGAAATAGCTCTGAAAACTTATGTGGCCATTATAAAAGCCTGGATCAAGTTTTCAGCTGCGCGCTTTTCTTCAGATGTGCCAGAAATAAGAGCAACCCGTTCACCCCGGTAAGATTTGGACTCAGAAATCTCTACTGTTGCTCCTGAAATCTGAATTGAAACAACGGGGAATAAAATACATTCAGTGAAGTACATGGGTAATGAATATGAATGATATATTAACAAATTAGCAGTCTGTGCTAAAGATGTATAATCGTGAGTATGTCTGAAACCTTGGCCATTGACATTCAAAAGAATGGGTATCTCCCTTTTTATGTATCTTTTTTATAGATAAGAGACATGATGGAGTTATCCTATCTTGTTGGCTCCACAAACACTAGAGTAAGGCGGAATATGATAACTTACCATATCATGTTTCTCTCTTATCTTGACCATTAAACAGACTTTTCATATGTTTTTTATTGAATAGTTAGTGTACCATCCCGCTGTTTCCATATGACAATCACTTGACAGGGTGAATAAATGTCTGATGTCTATCTTTTTCATTACTAGACATGACTGTGAGCAGAAGATGCATAATGCCACAATGCAGCTAAGGGAGTGATCAAATAACACAAAACGTTAAGAATTAAGCTTGATCATTAATTAATATCTTCGACTGTAGAATATGTTATCAAAAAAGCATTTACGAATAGCTTGATCTCATCTTAAAGTATCTTAATTTTTCTTAGTTTCGTATCTTCAAATATCTCTAAGGACTACTTCCATATTTCTTTGTTATTTTTAGTAACAATCGAAGAAACCCAAAAATCTTAAATGTAAACAAATCTGGCATTAATTTAAGATAACCAATAGAAAAATGTCTTTCAAACCACAAATTATTTCACTATTCCATAGAATAAAAAGAAAGTAAATTAGAATGTGAGAACTAACCTTCCTGATATTGGCTAGATTTGCCCCACCTTTACCCATCACCTTGCCAACAGCATTAGCAGGAACCAACATCTCCGATGTTGACAGGGGAGGCAAATTGTGTCTAACAAACACACAGAAACATGAATTGAAAATACCTAATCAGCTCAATGTAGGATTAAGGAAAGAGATGGTGAGAAACAAAAAGACAAATTCAAATGCAAATTATAAAACAAATATAACTTTGATAACAATATACACTAACCCTTCATACATCTTGGTGGCATATGAAGACATAGATCCATAACCATTGTCTGGCATCTTTTTCCAAAGAAGCAAAAAAGAGAGAAAATATCAGTTCAATATGATAAAGAATTGAAAATAGAAATGAATTATGTCACAACAAAAAAAAGAAAATAAAGATAGAGCAAAATGCAAGTTTGTGGATATTGTACTCAAAAATATAGACTTTAGACAGTGCTGGAAGAAATGATGAAGAAAAGATAGCTAAAAGCCATGAGCATTCACTCACTACTTTAACCGCTTCATTATATTTATAGCAGTACTCATAAATCATTCCTTCATAACAACTATATTCAAACCCAAATATGTCTAAGAAAACTAGATGATATACTTCCCATTGCTAATATAACTTCAATTTGCATTTCTACAAGATTTTCCAGTTTAAAATAATGTAGAGACGTGAAAACATCCTCATTCATATGATGAAGAAAATTATGCTATTTGCTGCACCTAATTTCAATTAAGTTGTCTAAAATTAGAATTAGTTTAAGCGAATATTATTAGTGAGCATATGCATTGGGCATAAGATGTTCCAAGAAAGTAATATTACATAAGAGGGTATCATTGACCAACAACAAACAAGACCAGACATGTTAAGACTGAATAGTCGTAAGAATTTCACCCCAGACATAGACTTTAGTAGAAATGTGGAACTTCACAGCAAATAAAAATAATCTGCCAAATATTTGAACCTTGAAGCAAACCTTTATAGATTAAAAGAATATATCATCATACCGAGTAAGAATCATATCCATAACGACTGCTAGAAGAGTGCATGCCCAATCCAGTTGCAGTTGCACTTCCAGTCCTCTGATCATAAGCTAGTGCAGCAGCAGGAACTGAAGGCAGCATAGATGGTGCTGAAAGAACAGAACTGCCTGTGTACAAAGATTCGGCACCTATGGGAGGTTTTTGGTCAATGTCCCTTTTTCTCAATACATCCTCCCTTAGTCTCAAGACTATCTGAATTAGAGCATCTCTCACACAATCAACTTCACCTACCACCTAAATCATAAATTGAAAAAACAAATTGAATAAAATAGATACAAAAATTAAAGAGAAAAGTTGAAGTGGAAAATAATTCAAACCTCAACAAGTTCATCATTGTCATCTGCATATTTGGGCTTATTACTTCTTGAGATTTGAATATCAGCCTTAGTTCGCTTCCGAATTTCATTTATGATTGAACCACTTCTCCCTATAATACACCCTATCACTTTAGATGGAACTAGGAGCCGGATTGAAACCGGGGTATCATCTTCATCATTTATCTTTTCTTGCAGCAGTAGAACAGCTTCAACAGCTATGGACTTCAGATCACTTGAAGACTACAAAACACACATACTACATGAGAATTCAATTCTTATGATAGAAGAAAAGCACAGGTTCAAAACAGAATAGAAAAAGGCTACTCTACTACATGTAGAGTATAGAATATGGACAAAATGGGAGACGCCAAAATCCAACAAGTAAACCAAGCATAAAGTTGATCATGAGATTCAATGATTTGAATAAGCTTGTGTGATAAACAAATGCAAAGCACCAAGTTTATCTGCAGTTACACTTATAGATTAACCACATTATAAATAAAGTTACAAATAATTACCTCCTTCCTGGAGACATATGGAAACTTATTCCTAACAGGTACCTAACTTAGCATGCAGCTGACCCCACTTAGTGGGATAAGGCTTGGTTCCTCTCCCAAAAGTCTTCAAATTTTTACAATAACTCTATATTGTAGTTAAAATGTAGGCTCTGCTGGTGCTTATTTTCAAAAAGGCATCAATTCTCATTGTTACAAGGGGTGGCTCATAATCATTTAACGACTCCGCGGCAATTAATTGGTATCTACTATAAAAATATTTCCTTCAATTAAGGACCTGATCAGCTTAAAACTTAAATGGAACTTGGAAGACATGAATAAAATACAGCCAAGAAAGAGAGAAAAAAAAAACAATGAGGGCATTGTCAACAAAAGAAGATAAGAGAGCATTGAAGCAAACAAGTGCACGTAATCCAGCCAAGAAATATTTAAGACAAATCAACATTAAAAAATAATTATAGAGTGAAACTTATCCCTCCATAATTTTGACTAGAGAATACTTAATAGAAAGAAGAATAAAGAAATTAAAGATCAAGCTATAAACTTTAACTAAAAAAAATCAGACAAGTATAAGTTGAAGATTGAAAAGTAGACAAAGCTGCCATCTTTTATACTAGAAATTTTTTAATAAAAGGAAGATTAAATAAACTATAGATCAAACTGAAAATTATGACTTCAAAACTGAGGACACATACAAAGTTGAAATTTAATGACTATTTAAGGAATGTTCCTGTCGATGTCTTACCTCTGTTGCAGTTATAGTGATTAAGCAATCATCATGACGAGCCTTGGAATCATCAACCTCAATACGAGCACCACTGGTTTGCCTCATACGTTTAATAGTACCCCCTCCCTTCCCAATTACATGTCCAATTTTTCCAGAGGGGCACAGTATTCTAATAATTAACTCTTCAGATTGAGAAGCACCTAGACTGGAAACTACTGGAAGGGAAGATGAGTACAGAGACCATGCATTTCCTGTATCTGCATAACCATGCAGATCTTGCACAGTTGTAGCACCAATAATTTGAGGAAAAGATCTAGGTTGAATAATAGGATCTGAAGCTGGATATAGTCCACCGGGAGGGTAAATAGGAACTTCAGAAGGAATGATAATGCTATGAGGTGTTTCTGGTAAAGATGTGTCAAGAGGAATGTCCTCTTTGGGGGAGAATTTGTACATAATAGTTGAAACTGCAAATAATGCTCTTTTTACAGCTTCCGGTTCACCTGTAATCTACTCAATGAAAACAAGCACATAATAAGATAGAAGTTCACTGCAAAAGAATTATTTCAATAGCCAGAAAATCTGTATAAAAATATTAATTTTGAAGTATAAAAATTGTAAGAACTTCTCCAAAACTAAATCAGCACATGCAGCGACAGAGGCAATATTCCTATAAGTTGATACGACTGAATCCCCGTTTAGAGATAGGCGGAGAGAAACATAAAGCAATTGGCAGGGACATTTCCATTATAGATGCATGAAAGTGAAATTTGCTTGTTTTTTAGGTGGCTTCGCAATCCAGTGTGCTAATCAATGTTGCAAGCATGTTGTAAATCTGCGCAATAGTTCAATAGCAATTTTAATATAATTGATAATATTAAACATATACCTACCACCACAAAATTGTCAAAGTCAAGAGCACACGAGTGCTCAGGGTCAGCTGCATCCTTTGAAATAACCTTGATATTTGTCCTCGTCTTAACTCTCATTCGTTTAATGGTGGCCCCAGCTTTGCCAATCATAATGGCAGACTGGCTTGACGGAACCAGAATTTGACATTCCTCTTTACTCTTCCGTTTCTTCTCAGAATCACCAGCAGCTTCCGTGGCATTTGAAATGGCAGAATGAACCTTGATAAGAGCATCTTGGGCAGCACATAAAGGCTTATCATTGTCAAATTCATCTTCAGCATCAATTTCTTCCTTATCCTTAACATGACAATAGATAGTTATAACTCGATTCTTTGCACCAGGAAACGGATCCACAACCTTAACTTTTGCCCTGCTCTCTTGCCTTATTGAATTTATAACTTTTCCATTCTTACCAATAACACTCCCAATAACTCCATCTGGACAAAGTATCCTATACACAACCAATTCGCCCCTGTCTCTTTCATCTTTGTCATTCACACGCCTCTTTTGATTTTTGTTGTCTCCGTTACGGTCCCCACGGTCTCTCTGTGGACGATTTCTTTTACCGGTCTCAACCATTCTGCAAATCACTGATGCAGTTCCTGAAAACAAAAAAAACAAAAAACAATAAACAATAAACAATAAAAAAAGCTTTAAAAGTATCAAATTTAAGCACTTTTTTTTAAGACAAAAACATTACATAATCACAGATCATAATTCAAATTCAACTATGCAATAAAAAGTCAATTCAGTGATATTGCAATAAGAAATTAAGCTTTACAAATAATTCAATATTCTTACGAACCTAAAACAGCTTGAAGAGAATAATAGACAAAAAAAAAATGACAATTCCCAAATTGAAACTATAAATTTAAAAAAAATTAAAAAGAAATAAAAAAACCTTAAACCTAACAAGCGAGATTGATTCGAATGAGAAGAAATCGAATAAATGTGTGGATTGTCAAAGAAAAGTTAAATCCTGTAGTTACGATGCATACATACCTGGCGGGATAGAAGAGGAAGAAGATGAAGTTAAAACCCTAACGTGAGAAGTAGAAAAGGAATCGTTTTTTTATCCCAACTCAATCTAGGTGTTTTTATTTATTTTTTTGCGTCATTTTTCTTTTTTTTTTTCAAATAGTCAAATGGCTTAAATCATTGTTTATTTATTTTTGAGTTTCTTTAATTAAAAAATAAATAAATAAATTGAGGCATATGAAAAAAATTATATCGGTAACACTAATATTTCTAAGGTTAAGCTTTTTATCATTATAATATTGTAAATTGAATGTATCTGATATATATATTTTTATTTTTTGTAAAATTATTTAATCACGATTGAGGTAAACAACTGTGGTAATAAAATAAGTGTTACAAATTTTGAATTCTAACAACTATATTTTTTTCATTTTTCCTATTACAAAAAACGTGTGTCACTTAAGTTCATAAATAAATGAAAAAGTTTGAAAACTATTTAACCACAGTTTTATTATACAACTGTTGTAATAAAATCTACATTTCACTATGGTTAAATGTAACAACTGTGGTCAAATGTTTTTCTGATAAATTTAAAACACAACAGATTCATTATTTCCTCTAAAACCCTAAGCGAACTAGCGAACCAGATACGACAGCGATAGCGAAATCTTCATCTTCACAATCTTTGTTCATTTTAATCTTCATTATCTTCATTTTTTGTCTCTTCCTCTTCGAAGTACGGTATGTTTTTTTTGCAAATTTCACTCTCTTCCTCGTCTTCATAATTCTTTATAATCTTCACTATCTTCATTCTTGTTTGATTTTGTGGTCTGTTTTGTGCAAAGTTCATATGTTTTATGTTTTGTTGTTGGATTTAGCAGTGAACAAAAATATTTTAACTTTGCTACAATGGATATCCATATGCTTAAAATTTAGAGTTGTATTATTGTTATGAATATGCTTCCGTTTTTTGATATGATTTAGGTTTAGATTTTGTTGTGTCGTTCACAATATTGTTTTGATATAAATTTTATAATTTGTTATGGATCGTAGTTTGATGAAAGATGATAGATTAGATTCGGTATATGAGAAAGGAGTTCTTGAATTCCTTAAATACGCTGATCAAAATATACCCGACAATAATGGTATCTTTTATTGTCCTTATGTTAATTGCGGAAATATAAATAAAGGTACAAAGGATGAGATATTCCATCACCTATTTTGTGATGGTATATGTCAAAATTATACAATATGGACGTGGCATGGTGAGGTGGAAAAAAAGCGAAACAGTGCGTCACAAAGTTAATGAAAATGAATATATGGATGACCGTCTATAAGATATGTTCCATGATATTGGAGAATCTTCTTTTAAGAAAACTCATATTTATGATATTTTATGTAGTGATAAAGACACCCCTTTATATAAGGGGCGTACAAGTTTTACACGATTGTCTGTGATTTTAAAATTGTTTAATCTGAAAGCGAAAAAATGGGTGGTCGGATAAAAGTTTTATGGAATTGCTTTATTTTCTTAAACAAATGTTACATGAAGATAATAGTTTGCCTGATCGTTGTTATGATGCCAAGAAGATATTGTGTTCAATGGGTTTGGAGTATATCAAAATACATGCATGCTCTAATGACTGCATATTATACAAGAAAGAGTATGAAAATTTGGATCAATACTAGAATGTGGGGTGTCGGATTACAAGTTGAAGGACAACAATGGTGATGAAAATGACAATGGCAATGTTAGTACGAAGAGACGTCCTGCTAAAGTGTTATGGTACTTGCAAATAATTTCAAGATTCAAGAGAATTTTTGCTAATGCAAATGATGCAAAGAATATTAGGTGGCATACAGATGAAAGAAAATGTGAGGGAAACATACGTCATGTAGCTTGTTCTTTGCAATGGAAGAAAATTGATTCGTTGTTCCCGGATATTGGCACTAAGCCAAGAAACCTTAGGTTTGGGTTTGCCACCAATGGAATGAACCTCATTGGTAATCTGAGTATTAACCATTCTTTGTGCCTTTTTCTTCTCATAATTTACAATATATCTTCTTGGTTATGCATGAAGCATAAATATATATTGTTAAGTATAATAATTTTTGGACCACAACAACCTGGAAACGACATAGATGTTTATCTAAGTCCATTAATTGAAGATTTAAGACTTTTGTGGGATGAAGGATTTGAAGTTAATGATGCATATTCAACTGAAAAGTTTAAGATGTGTGCAATGTTATTTTGAACAATCACAACTTTTCTGCATATGGTAATTTGGTTGGATATAGTGTCAAAAAACACAAAGCGCGTTCTATTTGTGAATTTGATATATGTTATTACCAACTTGAGTTTTAAAGAAAACTGTTTACCTTGGGCATCAGGAATTTCTAAAACCCGATCATTCTTATCGTAGATTGCAAAAGGCTTTTAATGGAGGGCAGGAGTTCGCTATCGCTCCTAAACCTTTAATTAGGGATGAAGTTTATCAATGACAAAAACACATTAATGTTGTCTTTGGAAAGAGAGAAAAAGAAAAAAAGGTCACTTGAGAAAAATATATGGAAAAAGAGGTATGTGTTCTTTGATCTTCCACATTGGTCAAGTCTCGATGTAAGACATTATCTTGATGTGATATATGTGGAGAAAAATGTGTGTGATAGTTTGATTGAAACACTTCTAAACATTTCAGACAAGACTAAAGATAGTAAGCAATCTCATCTCGATATTGAGGCGATGGGTATACAAAAACAATCTGCTCCAATAAAAAAGGGAAAATAACTTATCTACCTCCAGCTTGTTACACTCTATGCAAAGAGGAAAAGAAAAGTTTTTGTGAGTGTTTGCATGGTATCAAAGTTTCTCAAGGTTACTCATCAAACATCAAGAAACTTGTATCAATGAAAGATCTTAAGTTTGGCTTGAAATCTCATGATTGTCATGTCTTGATGCAACAACTTCTACTAATGGCTATTTGTGGCATCCTATCAAAAAATGTGAGAGTGACTATAACCAGATTATGTTTGTTCTTCAGTGCCATATGTAGTAAAGTTCTTGATTTCAAAAAATTAGATGAATTGGAAGATGAAGCTGGCATAATCTTGTGTCAATTAGAGATGTATTTCCCTCCATCATTTTTTGACATTATGGTTCACTTATTTGTTCATCTAGTTAGAGAAATCAGAATTTATGGCCTAGTTTATTTAAGGTGGATGTATTTAATAAAGCGATACATTAAGATCTTTAAAAGATATAAGAAGAATAATCACCGGTCAGAAGTTTCAATTGTTGAAAGATACATCACAGAATAAGTTGTTGAGTTTTGTACAAACTATTTGTTGGAAGTAGAGTCTATATGAATTCCAAAGTCTCGTCATACTGACATTGTAGGTAGAGGTATTCAAAATTTTAATGTTAAGTCAATGGCTCGGGATGTAGTTATTCAGGCAAATTTCTATATATTGAATAATTTTAAAGAAGTTCAACCTTACGTGGCTACTCACAAAAGACTTTTGAAGAAAAAAATCCATAAATGAGTGACAAGTTGTTGTTGATTGAGCATAATAAGAAATTCCTAGATTTGTTTAATAAAAAGATACCAAAAGATCATAATGCATCTGAGACAATTAAATGTTTGTCGTTCATGTCAAAATTTTATGTGATAACTTGAACTGCATATGACATTGGTCATTATACCTTTTATACAAAATCAAAAGATGATCGTAGTACAATTCAAAATAGTGGACTTATGGTTGAGGTCGAATCCATATATTTCTCTAGTTCGAAAGATAAGAATTCAATATTGGCATCTAATGCGTTCTATGGTGTCATTAAGGAGATTGATTATGTTATCTTCAAAGTGTATTTATTTATATGCAAGTGGATTCCCAATAATATTAACGGTGTACAAACTGATGACTTAGGATTCACCCGGGTTAACCTTGGCAAACCAAATTGTATGGTGGAACCATTATCATGGCTTCATAAGCAAAATAAATTTTCTATGTGACCGATCCTTCGGACACATCGGGGAAATGGTCACTCGTTCTCCGAGAAAAAAACATTCATAGTAGTGATGAAAATTTTGATATTCCTTCTACTTCTTTTTACACAACAAAAGGGTCTACCACATAATACGAAGTTGATATAGATGATGTGCATGTTATTTGTATTGATGATAATGAAGGCATGTGGAAAAATTAACAAGTAATTAATTTATTCTTTATTCATAATTTAATGTAAGTTATTATTTCTAACTATATTTATTACCAACAAGTACAATTATTTGATATTGTATGTGTTTAAAGTCAAGACACCAAGAGACAAAGAAACCAAAATACTATATAAGATACAATTATGTGATGTTATATAATGTTTGTAGGTTGTTTTGTGTCATTTTTCTTTTGATGTAATATATATATATATATATATATATATATATATATATATATATATATATATATATATATATATATATATATATATATATATATATATATATATATATATATATATATAATGTTTGGTTTTTAATCCAATGTATGGATTTGATGTAATACAATACAATTATTTGTTATGATACAATTGTTGTTTT